GACGTTTGGGGACTTCAGTTCACTAAGAATGGACTGAGCATGTTTAAAGGAATCTCAAACAAATAATCATTCTGAAAGTAAATCGTGTCTATCGAATATAATGTCTCACATGCTACTAATGTTTGCTAGGTGAGGAGCTAAACCTATAAAAGTATTTATCTGGGAGTGATGAAGGGTAAATTCTTAGTAGAAAGGGGATCTATTGATAAATAGTAATGAAAACAAGTTCTCATGTGTTGTCTGAAAAAAGACATCATACCAACCTAATAGTAGTTGATTACACTTTTTCAAGCCTGCCAGGAGTGAAGAAAGCTTTGGGCAAGTATGGCCCTGCTGATGTGGAAGACACCACAGAAAGTGGAGCTGCAGATAGTAAAGATGATGATGACATTGATCTCTTTGGATCTGATGATGAGGAGGTATGGCGTAAATTGAAATATGTATGCATCATTGTGCTTAAGCACAGGCTTTATAGCCAGAAGGCCTGTGTTCCAATCCTGGCTTCACTGTATTACCTGCCTTTTAAAAATTAGCACTGGCTACATGATGAATAAAATCAAATCACCATCTTTCGGCTGAGCTCGTGATGGATTTGCTTTTTTCTGATAAAGCTGGTCTTTTTATGACTCCACCGGCTTTAAGTGGAGGAACCACCTTTGTGAAATATGTTAAATTTTTCCTTTTCAGGAAAGCGAAGAAGCCAAGAGGCTAAGAGAAGAACGCCTTGCACAGTACGAGTCAAAGAAAGCCAAAAGTAGGTCATTTTATAATTTGTGTTTGTTTAACTTAACTACTTTCATAATGACATGAATAGTCTTTCTCAAAGATTGATCCCCCAAGTAATTTCTTTTCCTCCATATTCATTGAATACGTAAGCATTTCAGAACCTTCTGTCAAGGTGGATAGAGCTTCAGAACTTCCACAGCTACTGGTCTGCAGCTGTCCTTCTGGTGGCAGCTGTGGCATTCCTCTGTGGGAAAGGAACTGTCACACAATCAAACACCTCTTTCTTAGCAAAACAGAAAGTGGGCATGTGTGTGACAAACACAAGATGTATTTTCTATAGTTTTCTGTGGCTTGGATGATCTATTTAGAAACAAATTAAGATTGGTTAAATGTCTTGAAGTAGAGTAAAAATAATAGGGCAAAAATAATTTGAATAATGCTATTTCTTGTACTTTTTTAAGAACCAGCACTTGTTGCCAAGTCTTCCATCTTATTAGATGTGAAACCTTGGGATGATGAGACTGACATGGCAAAGCTAGAGGAGTGCGTCAGAAGCATTCAAGCAGATGGCTTGGTCTGGGGCTCCTGTGAGTTGAGTCTTTGCCTTTTGACACTGGCATCTGGAATTTGCATACAGTTTCAGCCTTTGCCAAACAGAACTTTTCTAACTAAGGTTTTTCTTAATGTTCATTTCAGCTAAACTAGTTCCAGTGGGGTATGGAATTAAAAAACTTCAAATACAGTGTGTAGTTGAAGACGATAAGGTTGGAACAGATATGCTGGAGGAACGGATCACTGCTTTTGAGGACTATGTGCAGTCTATGGACGTGGCTGCGTTCAACAAGATCTAAAATCATCGCCCTTAAATAAAAGCTTGAAAGACAACTTTTGCCTCTTGACTCCTAAATAGGATGATGGTATTTATATTCAGTACATTTTGAGGGAAGAAATTCAATGGATAGATAATTCATAAATAATGTAAACTTGGGTCAGCATTGTCATTTGACATTTAGCCCAAATAGAAGGGAACTACCTATTACAAATACTGTGAGTATATGTATGTACAGAGTAGATTTTATAAACAAATGAATAGAAGTAGACTCAGTACAATTTATGTACCCATTAATGTGTCCTCAATGTATAATGATATAGTTTTGTTTTTAGAGGAGGTACTAGGGATTGAACCTAGGACATTGTGTATGCTAAGCATGTGCTTTACCACTTGAAGGTTTTTATATTAGCCTTCTTTTTAAAAGAAATCAGAGAAATAAACTTAATGTAAAAATTTTGTAGTTGAGAGCTCTTAATTTTATATAATTAGCCCTGTAGGTTTATAATGGTTCAAGACCTTGGCCTTTGCAAGGGTTTTCAAAGTTACTTATCTAAGCTGGGTTTACTCAGTGAGAATGTTGAGAGTACCTGAAAGAATCATGAGAAATGAGTCCAAACAGGTAAAGTGCTTAGCGCAGTAAGTACCAGGCACATAGTGAATAATAATTTGCCAGATAGTTAATGAAATATTTGGAGATAAGGAATTAAGTGCCAGGACTAACTCCTTTTACAATTAGTAACCAGTGACTTAAGTGGCTGCCAAAATTATTTGTTGTGATCCTAGTATCTTCAATTTAGGGGTTACTTACAATTAAATAAAACCCCACACAACTACGAATCCCAAGTGAAAATAATGTTAAGTATTAATGAGCTGGGATGTGCAATGTTACCAAAGACACGTATCCAGAGGAGGGAAGGATCCCCAGGGTTTGTCATGAATTCTAGCCATTTGTCAAGGCAGATGTTGCCAATTTAATGCCTCCTGTACTGTTCAGGGAGAACTTGTACTGGGAATGATTTTGAGTAGCCTTGTGTCCTGGGAGGGAGATTGATGCGGGTGATTGACCCTGAGGCTGTGGTTCATAAACCTGGCTTGGGTGTGGAGGTGGGACATTTTACTTGGGTTTGAAAGTCTGATTGAGCCTCTGGGGGCGGGGGTACTTTACTACTGAGGTAGTGCTGCAGGTAAAGGTATTGAGATGAGGGCAGCGGTGGAGTCAAGTGATAGTCAAATACCGGAATAGCTGCATCTTGAGCAATTAACTTGGGGTATGTAGAATATTTCATTATGTATTTTTTACAGTAATATTTTTCACAAAAGTAGACTTTGAGAATTGCTGACCTCTAAGCGTTCATTTTGTAATCTCTTTGTAGACAGGAGATTAAATGTTTGATGTGAAGGTTTTCCTAGCTGAACCAGACAATGCTGTTTTCTTCCCTCCATCTGATTTTCTTTGTATGTGACTACTTTGAGTATGGGAAGTTGTTTAAATTCTAAAAATTTATTCAATCAGACATGTATGTGCTGATGAGTAAAAAATCAAGCAATGTTGAGTCCAACAGGCAGGTCTAAAATCACTGGAAATTTTCAGGTTGTCAGTATCGTGAGAGCCAGCAGAGGGCAGCACTTCATTTTCTGGAGAATGGGAGAACCTGGCGTTTCTAGAAATGCTATGGAGAAGTGGAGATGGAACTAGTGAATAGCCAAAAATAATTCATAATCTGACATATTAAAGGGTTTGAGTACCAAATAGCTTGACCAAGATGTTAAGTATTAAAAATTATTAATGATTAATTATCAAAAATTTGGTTAAAAGTAAAAGGAGTTTAAAAATTTAGAATGGTCAATTCAAACCATAGCTGTCTTAAAAATCTTAAAATAATGAATGATGAAGCATGTGACTTCAAATCTTGACTCCATGGTCTTGAATAAGAAGTACATTAAATGGTATCTTTCAATGTCATATTTAAATAAAGAGATAATACATTAACATGGTTCTAAGTTCAAGAGGTTATACAGTGAAGTCCCCCAGTCCCTCAGGTCTTACATTCACTTCCATAAAAGCAACCAGTGTCACCAGGTTCTTGGATCTTTCCAGAACTAGTAAGCATACGTATGGGCTACCTGTAGTGTGCAACACAAACTTCTGCATTGTAAATTTTGTCTGTAGACGTAGACTTGGATATCTGGGAGATGATATCTTGGACATTCTGTATCGGTACATAAAAGACTTCCTTAGTTTTTCACAGCTACATAATCCATTGTCTCATATTTTAACCAATCTAGTTACTGAATTTTTTAAAATTGCTGTATGATTTTTTGCTATTATAAGCAATGCTTATACATTCATGTGAGCCAGGATACTGAATGAACTTTTTGAACCAATGGGCTCAGAGGCATAAGTATATATAGAGAAAGAGGTTTTTTTTCTTTTGTTTCTGCCGTTGGAGTGGAAGATTTTTATAAGAGCCCACCTTTTTTTTGCATGCTCCATAAGTGATCGCAATAACCCTGAAACCTTGATTCTTTCTTATTTTCAGCCGTCCCTAGCACAAGGGCTGGGCACAGTGTGGGAATTCAAAACTGACTCATTCAGTATCACTGTGTTAGATGCTATAAAAATACAAAAGGCTTAAGAAAAAACCATAGGGAGGTGGTTCAAACTTAAAATTGTTAAGAATAAAAAAGTATGATGGAAAGCTCACAGGCCCTAGATGCTGACCGCTTAGCCTAGCGGAAAAAGAAACATCTGCACGGGTTCCTAACGAAAAGGGCAGGGAGCACTGCCCTGAAATGTAACTCCAGACCACCATTTGCTCCATAATTTTCTTCTGCCCTTGGTTGCTTAACCCCCTTCCTTCCTGCTCGTCACCCTTCCTCCTTCTTCCCCAGCCTTAGGAGTCTCTTTGCCCAGACTAGGGATGAGCTTACACAGTTCTCTTTTCTTTTCTTTTTTTTCTTTCTTCTTCAGCTTTTTTCCTGATCCTGGGAGCCTATCCAAGGGAGACCCCAGAGTGGAATATTAAAAACCCTGGTGGTAGAGGGGGCAGGGTTAAGGCTGCACAAAGGGCTGGAAACTTACAGTGAGCCTTTCTCTTCCTGCCTCCCTTATCCTATCCAGGATGTGACAGAAACCAGAAAGCTGGGGAAAGGTAGAATCTTGGGGTAGGCTGAGCTATGCTGTACAGATTTTTTTCTTCTAATAATTTCCAAAACTGGATCTGATGGTTGCATGGGACTCAAAGTAAGAAACACTGCCTATAAATGATCTGATATTAGCATTTCTAAAACCTGAGAGATGAAATAAAAAAGGATACTGATTCAAAAAATAGCACAGCTTCTCTGTAACAACTTCCAAAATAAAATCAAGAAATTATAGGAAATTAAATAGTTTTAAAAATTGTAGTGAGTAGCAGAGTTTATATTCATAAAAGACAAGGGTCCCAGCAGAGGCCTGGAAAAGAAGCAGGATGTTTAGGAAACCCCAATGGCAAGGAAAGGTTTCCATTGTTTCTTCACCTCCACACTGAAGGTCATCTCTTTCCTCTCTGAACAATCTGGACTTTTCTCGGCTCCCTTATGGTACTTAAGACCAACTACCTTATTTTAGGATTGTTCTTATGCAGGTTTAATCTCACTTTCTAAAATCTAAGTACCTTATGCATCTTAGCATCCCTCACAGTATTGATCTACTATGGTTCTGCGTAACTCTTCGTCATCTGTTTACAAAAAGGATAAATGAATAGAAGTCAAAATACTGGTTCAGTCTAAAATGCAAACGATTTACGCAATGAAGAGGTCACTGACTTACGGGTATGTTTTATTGGTCTTACACTGGTGTCTATATAAATATAGTTACAGAAATAGAAGGTGGAAATTATCAGTAGGTCATACACACTTTCTGTTTCTGAAATCATTCTGATATTGGGCTGCCTATCTATTATCTGGATGTCAGTGTTTCATGTTTATAGCAACTTTATACATATTTGCACAAACCCAGAATTTTCCAAAAATGTTCATATTTAAAATGATATCATGGGGGATGAAAGATGGACATATATCCCCACTGAGAGGTAGGGTCTACATCCCATTCCCTTGAATCTGAGCTGGCCTGGGACTGCTTTGACCAATGCTGTACAGTGGAAGTGACATTGTGCCAGTGTCTGGCAGAGCCCTTAAGGGGAGTAAAAATTTCCATCTTGGGCACTTAGAGCCCTAAATTGACGCATAAGAAGTCTGGCTACCCTGAGGTGCCATGCCAGAATACCCAAGAGAAGGAGAAGGCAGAGGAGGGAAAGGAGTGGGGAGAGTGAAGGGGAGGAGAAGAGGGGGAAGGGAAGAGAGCATCTCAGCTAGTCCCCAGCTGTTCCAGACTTCAGCCAGTTGGGTCATCCCAGTCCAGCTGAGGCTCCACATACTGTGAAGTAGGGAGGCGAACCTCCCTTCTGTGCCTTATTTAAATTCCTGATCCCTAGAATTGTAAGATATTATAATAATAAAGTGTTATTTTAAGCAACTCCATTTGGGGGCAGCTTACTAAGCATTCATTGTTAACTGGAACAATTTTAAACTACTATAGCCAACTATTACTCTAATTCATACATGCTCATACACAGATTACATGAAATAAAGAAATTAAGTACATATGTCACATTTTAAGGATAGGTCTAACAGGTTCCTGGTGCAAAATTAAAGTGAGCTTAAGCACAGATTATTTTTATATTTTCAAAATTAGTCTTTTTAAAAAGTCATTAAACAATGAATATATGTATGTTCATGTATAACTGAAAAATTGTGCTCTACACTGGAATTTAACACAACATTGTAAAATGACTATAACTCAATAAAAAATGTAAAAAAAAAGTCATTAAAATTGAAAAAAATAATAGTGTTGATTAATCCACTGTGTTATATTTAGCAAGAATAGCCCAGATAAGCTGCAGAAAAAAAAAACTGAAGATCCTTCTTATGTCTTATATCCACAGAAAAATGCAATGCCGATAAAATGACCAAAAACAATAAAAAGATATAGTGAGCTTTATATCTTGGAGCCAAATAATCTGAAAGCATCTGTCAGGGGATCCACACAAAAGCTGGACACTGATTTCTGGAAGAGGAAGAATTCACTGGGCTGTTTCCAGGAGACACGGATTCTTGGCTTCAGAGTTCTTGAGCTGTTCGCTCACTGTGCCACAGCGTATATTTCAGTATCTCAGCAACGGAGGCGCGAAAGCGTGCTTGGAACTTCTTACTAATTAAGACATAAAGGATGGGGTTCAAGCAACTATTGAGGAATGCCAAGCCAGTGGAGAGGGGGATTCCGGCCTCCAGCACTTGGTGGAAATAGCTATTGTGGTGAATCGTGAGTTCCCAAATGCTAAACAGATGATAAGGGGTCCAGCAAATCAAAAAGGCCACGACCACTGCCAGGATGGTCCAGAAATGCTTACTGGAGATCAGGATGCTTCGCTTCTTCACCTTGAAGATGAGACACAAGTAGCAAATGCTCATTGTTAGCAAAGGGAAGAGGTACCCAATAATAAATTTCAGCCAGGTCAGAAGGTGGTGTCTCATCAACGTGAGGTCAGGATCATGCTTGTGGAAATTGTTATAGCAAAGAGTGTGGTTATTGAACTCCAGAGTGTCCCGGAAGAATAGGGCTGGACCACCTATGAGTGAAGCCAAAAGCCAAACGAATATAATAACAATCAGAGAGTTCCTTAGGGTCCGGTGCCGATGAGATAAGACAGGATGGATCAAGTAGATATAGCGGTCCAGGCTGATCACTGTCAGGAAAAAAACACTGGCAAACATGTTCAACTGGGCAATGAAGGAATTGGCCTTGCACAACCAGATGCCAAAGGGCCAGTGGAAATTCATGGCCACGTAAGAGATGTACAGGGGCAGGAAGAGAAGAAAAATGAAATCTGCAATGGCCAGATTGAGGAACCAGAGAGTGGTGACTGTCTTCTTCCACTTGAATCCCGTGAACCAAATGACGATGGCATTTCCTGGAATGCCCAGAACAAATGCTAAACAGTATAACACCAGGGAGACCCAGTGAACGATCCCCAGGTGTGCATTCTCCTCCAAATCAGTCTCTGGGGAGTAATATTCCAGGACATAGGAGTAGTTCTCAAGTTCTTCAAATAATGTTTCCTCTAGATCTTCCATGACCTTGCTAAGTGCAGAAAGAAAAAATCTATAGAAGCAAATTTCAAAAGAAAGAAAACAACTTTTAAAAGAAGAAGAAATGTTCAGCGAATGATAAAAAAAAAGAATAAAAATACTGCATCGTATGAGCTGATAATAGTATATTTCTTGGTAGGACCTGTGATTATGCTCTAGATGTCCAACTCTTGGAGACCTAAATTTCACTATAATTATTCTCAATGCTGTGAGAGTTTATTTTTGTAAAGTATTAAGTAAGTGGTAAATTAAAATGATTGACTCTGCAGGTGCAGTTCCTATCTCTGTTCATAATGGCTTAGGACTAACTAGAGAGCATCTAACATTCAACAAATATTTATTAGGTTCTTACTACTTGTTGTTATTTTACGGAAGGAGCAAAAGAAAACAGATTAAGACTTACGTGGTGATAACTTCAAAATTCTTATTTGTATCCCGATATCTTAAGCTCTAGACAGAGTTCCAATTGCTTCCTTGGCTCATCCACCTGAATGTCATAGGCAACCACTGGAGATTTTGAGCCACTATTTTGCACTTATGAGTGTTTTGATTCTATGTTTATGAATGCAAACATGTCCACCAGAATTATATCACTATGGGAGGTTTTTCAACGAAAAGATACCTTTTGGAATAAATTTAACTATGGCCACTTAATTTCTATATTAATTTCCAACAGAGTGTGGGAAAGCTTTATTAAAATTTTTACTTTACTGAAATTCCTTTGTCTTGAATTAATTTGAATTAATTCTTTTCTATATTTACAGCAAAGCTTTGACCTACTATTCAGTTTCAGTTTTATTTTGCTTATTTTTGACCATACCAAATGTTATCTCTTATAATTTCACTCAAAGTAAGTTTTTTTGGTGTGGCCTTTTTTTTCCCCCTCTTATCAAGTCCAGTTTTCCTGGGTTAAGAAGACTTGGATGTCAATTTTTCAATCAAAAAAAAGTTTACTGGGTGCAATTCCAGCTTCATCAATTTTATTCTGTTATTTCTATCTGGAGTGTTCAAAATCAAGTAGAAAAAAAGACTAATAGTTATATTCATTTTATGGAGCTACAATCATTAATGGGGCAAATACGTAAGATTTGAAAGGATTATAGTAGGGTTACAATGAAGAGGTCAAAACATCTTGTGTTGCTCACAGCCATTTCAAACTCAATTCAACTAACACTAAAATCATTTGAAGAATCTAGCAGGGCATAATTAAAAACAAAAGCAATTCATTAGCATCCTCCCAACCCCAGACCTAGCCAACTTCTCTTTATTTTTCAATATTCAGCTCAAATGCCACTTTTCTTGGAAACTTTTCCTGACATTACCTTCCCCCAGATAATTATAATACTATAATAATAATAATAATAATAATAATAATAATAATAATAATAATAATAATAATAATAATAAACACAATAGTCAATGTATTGGGAATTTACTAGGTGCCAGGCATATATGATCTAATTAATCCTTGCAAGAATCATATAAAGTGGGTAAGTACTATTATTCCTACTCACAAGAAAACATACTGACACTTGGAGAAGCTTGGTGACTTCCCAGTGTCACACAACCTATAATTAGATCTAAACTCAAATCTGTTGAACCCAGATCCTGAGCTCTTAATCACTTCAGCGTTCCCCTCTTTTGTCATACTTCTCTTACTGTACTTCACACGCTATTCTGCCATTGATTTGTCTTTGATTTCAGCCCTACCAAACTGTGAACTCCTTGAGGATAACTGTCATCTCTGTATCCCACAGGGCTTAATGTATCACAGATGCTTCACGTGTGCTCAGAAAATGATCCACTGTGCTACGATGAATCCTGTTCAGAACCAAATGTAATTTTAAAGCCTCAGTTAAGAGATTACCTGTAAATCACTGTCATTGCCAGAATCTCTCTGACCTCGACCCACAGTTCTATCCCCAAGTCTTGCCTTGTTCCTTGTCAACAGGTCCTTTCCTTCACGTGTCCTACTTCAGTGAGCAAGGATTGGCTTCTTTCTTGCTGCCCTTTTCTTTCAGGTCTGGGGTCGTCCTCTGCCCTCTCCACTCCTTCTGGGTGGCTGATCCTCCTCTGTGTCAAGTCCTTTCCAACATAGTCCCCATAATCTTCGTTTTCTACCTATAAACTAGGACACTTTACCTTCCTGGTGCCTCTGACCTGTTCTTTTAGGCTATTAGCAATTCTGAAGCCAAATGGACCTAAATCACCTTACAAAACCCTAAGTAGTGGGTAGATGGAACCTCATTCCCCAAACATAGAGAAGCCAACGGAGGACCTCTAATCGCCCAACCACTATCCTCACCAAGTCAGGAGACTTCCCCTTCTAATGTCACTGCTGACCCTGCTGGGTCAGAATGATCACAGAGTCTGCTGCGGGATACCAGCCACCCCTCTTCCCAATTCTCGTGGGCGGGGGGAGGTACCTTAAGGATGAGTGATCTTTCTGAACAGAATCCCTTCCAACAGAAAGCCCTGTACCAGAGAAGTTCCTAGTCTTCCAGAAAGCAGATGAGTAGATCAGCTGCAAGGACCAGCTCAGGCTTGAAGAAGAAAGATCTTCAAGAGGAGCTGAATTCTGCCCAGCTGAATTCTTCACAGGAAATATAAGCTAGGAATTCCCCGAGACTTGGAGCAGATGTTTTTGTGTGCTGTGTAATGTTGAGAGGGTGGAGTGGGATGGAGAAAAGAGAGAAGTAAGGCAGAATTCAGCAACTCTCCTACCAAATCCTTGGCCAGACATAGTTAACCCTTGAGGGTATATTCTTAATTATACCTTGCTTGTATATTGCTTTAGAGTTTACAGTCACCTCCAGATTGAATTACGTTTCCAAACCTTACTTCGACCTACCCAAGTATCTAGAGACTAATGTATTAGTTTTTTAGGGCTGCTGTTGTTCTAAAGCACTCTAAACTGGGTGGCTTAAAATAACAGATATTTACTGTCTCAAAGTCTGGAGAAATCTGCAGTCAAAGTGTAGGCAAGGTTGTTTCCTTCCAAGGGCTACCAGTGAGAATCTGTTCCATGCCTCTTGCTTCGATTCTGGTGGTATGTTGACAAACTTAGGCAGTCCCTGTCTTGTACATGCAACACAAATTGCTCTGACCACTTCATTCTATGCCAGGGTCTCAGGCCTTCCCCTACCCTTTTTCTCTTCTTCTCATTGGCTGAATGAGGATGCAGGGACGAGCCATCATGTACCATATGGACGAGGAAAACATGATTTTTCATAAGATAGAAGCTGAAGTCCCTGGATGACCTCACGGAGCAGAGCTGCCCTACTTCTCCGGACCACCTCCTTCTGCATTACTAAGTGAGAAAAGTTCCACACCCCCCTCCCATTCTTTTGGGCTTTTGTTAAAGCAGCTGAATCTGTATCCTAACTACTATAGCTTCTCTAGGCCTTACCTTTAAGCACTGTGGTGGAGGTTGGCAGTGTTTACCTCCGATGAAAAGAAGTTACAAGAAATGCTTGAAGTAGGAGCTACTCTTAACAATGGTCATGGCTTCTGGAAGAGAGAGGGGAGCTTCCCTTAGGAAGAACACAAAGAGGAAGAAGCTGGCTTTGTGGGGAGGATCTCTCTTTTCCCAACAAGGGTCAGGGAACCATTTAAGAAATACCCTTTGGCCATGGAGACAGAATATACGGGAGTTTTTGCAACTGACTATGGTGGGCTGGTAAGGCTCCTACTGTCTAAGGAAATGAGGGGGCAGATCTTGTGTTGTGACGATAACAGGCCTATGTTATCTGGGCAGACTTTTAAACGTCCTTTGTCCTTTATCTCATAATTCAAATATCCCAGGGGCAGGTAAGTTTAATGGGTGCAATAGTCCAAGCCGGGGGAGACAATGGGATTTGGGTGTTTACTTGCTTTCAGTGGAGAGCAGCTACTCAGTTCTAGCCAACTGGTTCCATGTGGGAAATGAGGGCTTAGTGTTGCCAGAGTTTTTGAACAATGGCTGATTATCTATATTTTTAATGTGAAAAGTTTCCAACTTCTAAACTCCTGTATTAAAGCAAAACAATTGTGGGCCATATTCAGCCCATCTATAAACTTGTGACCCCTGGGACAGGCAAACTCTTTGACAACTTCGAGCTTTTCGACAGTGAAGGAAGAGGCTACACATTAAAATGGAAATAGAAACTTGGAGTTAGCCTCTGAGAATGACTGGCCCCTTGGTCCCAGGGAGGCAACCAGAAGATTTAATGCTGCCCAGGGGCCTCTCCACAGGTCCTCATTTTAGCCTTCTTCCAATGGCTATAGGAAATTGACTGTAAGAATTGAGGCAACTCCTTTTTCTCCAGGAAATAATGCTATGGACAAGTTCCTGACTCTATTGGGATTTGGCTAGAGTTACCAGGGAGGGCCGTGGTTAAAAAAGGTGAAATAATGGATCAGCACCTAGAACCAGAGCTATTCTTTGGAGTTGTAACAAAGCTCCTGGTTCTCCAGAGGCCATAGTGAGTAAATTCCCTGATAAAAGAAGGACCCTCATCCTGCTTCCAGCCATCTTTGGGTAGAAGATCCCTATGTTCCTGCCTCTTCATTACTCTAATCCCCACAGCTTGAGTCTTTCAGCCCTTGTCTGTAAGCTCTGCTCTGCCCCAGACTTGAATTCACTATGTTCCTCATTCAAAGTATAACTTGGCAGCCATCCTGATCCACGGTTCTCCTTCTACTTTATTCTCTGATTCGGGTAACTGGGTTACTGCCTTGTTCCTAGTCCTTGCTCCCAGGTTCCTAGTCCTTGCTCCCAGGACTGCTAGACCTTTGGTCCTCTGGAGAACACTAACATCTGTTATCACATCTCCATGACCCTGCTCTTTTGCTCTCTGGGAGGATCCATGCTTCTCTCCCACCTCGACCAGACTACTCACCACCACCCCAGAAGGCATTGCTCTGACACCGGTTCCCAGCCTTTAATATCACCGAGATCTGTACCAGTGGTTCTCAACCCAGGACAAGTTTGCCTCCCAGGGGCTATCTGGCAATGTCTTAGAGACATTGCTG